ATAGTTGTCATTGTACCGCCGCACACACAGCCGGGACACTGCACACGAGCCAAGGCACATTTAACAAACCCAGGCAGCACTCACAAGCAATGCAAAGTTACATTGTTTCCTCATAAGTTCATGTCATGACGTTAATAATAAAAATAACAATGATACGTATTACATAATACATTGGATTGATCCTATCTCTGAACAGAGTTAGTCTGTTGGCAGCAGTCATTGTCCAGTCCAGTCCTGGCATCTGCTGCTCAGTTTCCTTCCCGGGCTGCGGTCCCAGTGGCACCGTATTTCCTGGGAACCGTGTGGTGTGTGTGGTGTGTGTGGTGTGTGTGGTGTGTGTGGTGTGAGTGGTGTGTGGTGTGTGTGGTGTGTGTGGTGTGAGTGGTGTGTGTGGTGTGTGTGGTGTTTGTGGTGTGTGTGGTGTGGAGTGGTGTGTGTGGTGTGAGTGGGGTGTGTGGTGTGAGTGGTGTGTGTGGTATGAGTGGTGTGTGTCGTGTGTGTGGTGTGAGTGGTGTGTGTAGTGTGTGTGGTGTGTGTGGTGTGAGTGGTGCGTGTGGTGCGTGTGGTGCGTGTGGTGTGAGTGGTGTGTGTGGTGTGAGTGGTGTGTGTGATGTGAGTGGTGTGTGGTGTGAGTGGTGTGTGTGGTGTGTGTGGTGTGTGTGGTGTGTGTGGTGTGTGTGGTGTGTGTGGTGCGAGTGGTGTGTGGTGTTTGTGGTGTATGTGGTGTGTATCACCACCTCCATCACCCCAACTGTGCGGTCGACCGGTCGCAACAAAACAGCATCATGCTGCGGAGGAGCGCACGGATCGCGTTCGCCACACGAGCCAGGCCCTTTCGTTCCTGCACTACCACCTCCTCCTGTGTGTAGGTGTGAGTAAGGGTATAGAGGTGTGTGTGTAGGTGTTTAGATGTATAGAGGTGTGTGTAGGTGTGTGTAAGTGTATAGAGGTGTGTGTGTGTAGGTGTATAGAGGTGGGTGTGTGTAGGTGTGTGTGGGGAGCGGTAGTGTAGCGGTTAGCGCGCTGCGCTATGAACCTGGCGACCCGGGTTCGATTCCCGCTCACGGCTAACACCAGTGACGATTATCTGAACCGGTCCTGGGCCTCCCCTAGGTCGACTCAGCCTTAAATGAGTACCTGGTGCGGTGTGTAAACATCGCCACTAGGGAGACAAAGGCGGTCGGGCGTGGTGCTGGCCACCCACCCCCTCGTGTACCGTTCCGGCCTTCATAGGTGCTCGCTAACAGCACTTGCCCCTACAGTCTGTTCAGGCTATACGGGGGATCTTTGTCTTTGTGTAAGTATATAGAGGTGTGTAGAGGTGTGTAAGTGTATAGAGGTAGGTGTGTAGAGGTGTGTGTATGTAAGTGGGGAGCGATAGTGCAGCGGTTAGCGCGCTGCGCTATGAACCCGGCGACACGAGTTCGATTCCCGCTCAAGGCCAACACCAGTGACGATTATCTGAACTGGTCCCGGGCCTCCCCTAGGTCGACTCAGCCTCAAATGAGTACCTGGTGCGGTGTGTAAACATTGTCACTAGGGAGACAAAGGCGGTCGGGCGTGGTGCTGGCCACCCACCCCCTCGTGTACCGTTCCGGCCTTCATAGGTGCTCGCTAACAGCACTTGCCCCAACAGTCTGTTAAAGGCTATACGGGGGTTCTTTGTAAGTGTATAGAGGTGTGTATAGAGGGGTGTATGTAGAGGTGTGTGTGTAAGTGTATAGAGGTGTGTGTGTAAGTGTATATAGGTATGTGTGAGGTCCTGGGGGAGGGAAAATCTCTCAGCCAGGAAAACATCATGGCACAAAGTGGGGATAACCCTGCTGAGGCTGCGGTGCCTCAAATATTGGAGGAAGTCACCCCCTGTGAGTGGCTGGCTGAGGTGCCATCTGTTGAGGAAGTACTGAAGGCGATCCGGAGTCTGAGACCAGGAAAGGCACCGGGCAGAGATGATCTCCCAAGCGAAATGCTGAGGGAGGGTGGCGCTTGTGCACAGATTGCCTTATATGACATCATAACAACAGTCTGGACCGCTGGACGGGTACCGCAGGATTGGAAGGATGCCCTGGTGGTCCCCCTCTTTAAGAAGGGGGACCGCACAGACTGTAACAACTACAGTGGCATCTCACTCCTCAGTGTGCCGGGAAAGGTCCTGGCAAGGATTATTCAACATCGCCTTGCTAGGCACGCTGAGGAGAGGCTTGCGGAACCCCAATGCGGTTTCAAGAAAGGGCGGTCCTGTACAGATGCCATATTTTCTGTCCATCTGCTACAGCAGAGGTGTAGGGAATTCCAACAAGACCTTCATCTCTGCTTTATTGACCTGGTCAAGGCCTATGATACCATCAGTAGGCCTGGGCTCTGGGTTGTTCTTCGTGCTTTCGGAGTCCCTGACCCTCTGCTCACGATCATTAAGGACCTTCATGATGGTGAGCGGGCCCGGGTAAAACTACGTGGCCGGGAGTCGGAGCCTTTCCCTGTACACCTTGGGGTGCGACAGGGATGTCCTCTGGCTCCCACATTATTTAACATCTATTTCGACTGCGTAGTTCGTGAAGCCTTCAATAGCTGTACCGGGGGCATTTCCATTTGGTACAGATATAATGGGAGGCTGATCGACGCCCGGGTGCGATCAAGGGATGGCTCCCTATTGGTCAACCACGTTATGTATGCCGATGATTTGGTAATAGCTGCTCATTCAGAAGAGGAGTTCGAGACGCTGCTGCTGAGACTGGAGCGTGCCACTAAGAGGTGGGGCCTTACCATCAGCCCCACCAAAACTAAGCACCTGCCTGGGTATTTTGTACCATCGGACACTCCACCCCCACAACTCCCAATCGGTGATGGGGCAGTAGTGGAGAGAGTGGAGAGTTTCCCATACCTGGGCAGTGTGTTTATGACCGGCTCCAGTTTATCAGCCAAGGTCTCACTCCGAATCAGTCGAGCGGCATTATCTTTTCATCGGTTGCGTAACGCTGTGTGGAAGCTACCTGATCTGTAGCTCCGCACGAAGCTTTAGGTCTTCTCGGCCACGGTCATTCCCTCCCTTCTCTACGCTTGCGAAACGTGGACCCCCCTAATGGAGCATCTTCACCGGTGGGAAACATTTAGGCTGGCCTGCCTAAGATCCATCCTGGGTTTAACAAGGCTGGATTGTGTGAGCTCACAAATCCTTGAAAGATCTGGGCAAAGTCCCATCGGTGAGCTCCTCCGGCAGGCAAGGCTGCGTTGGCTGGGTCATGTAGCCCGCATGCCCAGCTACCGCATGCCTAAACAGCTTTTGTTCGGCCGGATCGAGGGGGCTAAACGGGCGCGGCACGGGCTAGAGAAGAGATGGAGTGATGTGGTACAGGAGGACGTGGAGCTGAGTGGACTTGCCGATGACTGGTACCAGCAGTGTCAAGATCGGCCTCAATGGAGGAGGCTCGTGAAGGACGCTACTGGGCAGTTGGAGGCAGTCGCCCTCCAACAACAACGGAGGGCGGAGGAGCGACGCTCAGAACAACGAGCGGAGCGCCGGGTGGCTAAAGCACAGCAAGTTGGTACGGTAGGGGGCACAGGTGGTGCATCACCCAGTCATCTCGGTCATCTCGGTCAGTCGACCCGTGGCACCTGCTGGGTCTGCCCCGTGACCTCCTGCCAGCGGGCGTTCGACACTTCACGTGGCCTCAAGGTGCACTTGGCCTGGTACAAGCGTCGTGGTGACGTCACCGCCACTTAGTGGCGAATGGCGGTTGTTGTTGTATAGGTGTGTGTGTGTAGGTGTGTAAGTGTGTAGAGGTGTGTGTGTAGGTGTGTGTAAGTGTATAGAGGTGTGTGTAGGTGTGTAAGTGTACGGAGGTGTTCGGGTGAGTAACCCTGGCAGCGCAACGCTGCTGGCGTCTCGTGCTGCCGCCTGTACCGCGCCTTGTCCACCAGAGGGCATCGCCTACCCACGGGTTGTGTGGCGTCAGGGTGAGAAGTGGAGGGTGGGGGGAGGGGTCCGGGGATGGGGGGGGCTGCTGCTGCAGCGCTCAGCAAGGGGTCGTGCTTGGTGCACCACTGCCAATTCTTTATTGCATCGATCTATCTCATTCTTTGTCTCTGCTTCTATTTCCTTGCGCCCGAGTATGCACCGCTACTTGTGGTACCCTCTCTGTATTCATTGGAGAGCCACAGTCCAAACCACTAAATCTTCTTGTTTCTTGTGTGAAGCCCTCTCCAATATTTTATTTGATTTCTGCAAAAGGGCTGCTGCCATGACTGTGGAATGGTTGTCACGATTGACTTAAAATGTCGCGGTTCGATCTCCCAGCCTGGCCTTGAAAACATTGACCAGGATTCTTACAATTCCCTGTTTTTGTCCACCCACAGTCCATCAGTGGGTCGCGTGCAATGGGCTAAATGGCGAGTACTCCCACCTCTTTCAAGACATATGGTCAGTGTGGAAAAGTTGGCCAAAACATACCCACCGGATCGGCACTCTAGACCTCCCTCTAGTGGGGGTTCTTTCACCAGCAGTTGCATGAGCAAGTAATTGCAGGGCTGCACCATTAACCTCACGTGCACAACAATAATCTGGTTTACGTGCATTTCAGAACTCCTTGATCCAGACCCCAGCATCCCAGTGGTGCAGGATCAGTGCTCTGCATCGGTGTTACCATTACGCCGTTGCTCCTCTGCAACCCCGTGCCACCCGTTGCCGCGTGTAACGTCGCTGCGCCCTGTGCACCGCACGTGTCCCCAGCCCCTGCCGCTGCTCCGCCGGGACACCGGCTTGATGCTGACGATGTCTCAGGCGCAGGCCGCCTGCCTCCTGGCCAACGCCTTCTTCTGCACGTTCCCCCGGAGCAACGCCACCGGAACCCGGAGCGAGGACTCTGCCTGCCCCGACATCAACGTCAACAGGTGCAGCAGCAGCAGCCCATCACTGTGCATTACACACCGAACACCGTGTGTCATGCAGTACACACACACAGATGCAATGCTCTCTCTACGTGTAATAATCCTTCTGAGACGGCTTCGGAATCGGTCCTCTTTATTTTCACTTCCACAATACACTTTACTCACACACTCTCTGTTGCTGGCAGACAACAGAGAGCGGGCAGACTTCACACCAGTTCCCACCGCGCACGTGGCACCCAGAGCCCCCGTACGCGCGTGGCTCTGTTCGTTCCCCAGTCTGCTCCCGATCGTTCTCTCTCACTCTCTCTTAATCCTTCCATCACGTGGTCCCCCCAGCCAATCCTCCATGGACAGCCTTGACCATTCTCGATGGTTCCCTGTCAATCCCGGGACCACGCCTCTCATCCGGCTCCCCATTAGCTGGGGCCCCGAATGGCTAGGCCAATCACTCCTGATGACATGCCGTGATCACGCCGGGGTCATGCTCCCTATCTCAACCCTTATTGGCTACAAAGCAGGACCGGCAAGCCAATCCCCACGTGAACCCTCTATGGCTGTTATTACATATGTAGAGTATTTCTTGCTGTATATGTAGCGTCGGAAATGCAAAGCACACACCACCTGTAGTTGCGGGCACGAGTCGACAGGGGGTGCCACCCTGAGTTAGAGAGAGAACCGGGACCGTTGAGAGGCCGAGTTCCCCCCCCCCGACCCCAGGTGAGGGGTTGGGGGGTTATTCCAGAGCCACCTCTACTGTGTGGTGGACCGGCTACCACACAGCAGCACGAGTCGGAGGAGTGAACGGATGGTTCTCCCTATGCGGGCCAGACTCCCTCGCTTCCTCTTCTCCTCCTGCATCATCACCTGATCCTCTTTCCTTGTCATCTCTTTCTCCACCATCTTCTCCACCAATGTCTCCTCCACCTGCACCACCATCTCATCCTCCTGCTCCTTCGTCCATAACTCCTCTGTCTCCCCCCTCATCTCCTCTTCTTCCTGCACCACCAGCTCTTGCACCAAGGGTCTCCTCCTCCTGCACCACCAGCTCCTCCACCAAGGTCTCCTCCTCCTGCACCACCAGCTCCTCCACCAGGGTCTCCTCCTCCTGCACCACCAGCTCCTCCACCAGGGTCTCCTCCTTCTGCACCACCAGCTCCTCCACCAGGGTCTCCTCCTCCTGCACCACCAGCTCCTCCAACAGGGTCTCCTCCTCCTGCACCACCAGCTCCTCCACCAGGATCTCCTCCTCCTGCACCACCAGCTCCTCCACCAGGGTCTCCTCCTCCTGCACCAACAGCTCCTCCACCGGAGTCTCCTCTTCCTCCACAACAACCGTCAGCCATTTAGGCCTGGGCAAGCGCGGAGGATGGGGGCAGCGCCGCCTCCGCTCTGTAAAGAGATGCGCACGACACCGTTCCAACTTCCTGCTACAGCAGAGATTGCACTCCCCCCCCCCACCATCAGTTAACCCTGGGGGGGCATGGGGGTGCTGTGATCCCCCATAGCCCCACCCCTCGGAGAGGATTCTTATAAAAGGCGGGGAGCCAGAGGGCTCGAGGCCAATGTGTGAGAAGCTTACCATTGAAGACTGAAGACCGGCAGAATAGGCCCTGGAACTCCCCTGGCTCGCTGTCCTTGTCAGGGCCGAGCAGGGCAAGTGGCGCGGCCCCAAGAGCTCCAGGACCGCTGCTCTTGTAAGAGCACGGCCTGGTTAGCTGGGTGCCGGGATCCGTGCTTGACCAGGGCCGGATCAGATAGCCTCCCCTAGCACTCATAGCGGAGGACTGGGAATAGGAGAAGTCAGGGGATAGTACTAGGGGTGTTTCCCATTGAGTACGGGTGAAGGCGCCGTTACCCCTTCAAGTAATGTTACCGCCTTTTGGTTAAATAAAAGAGTGTGCCTCAACTACGTCGTCTGTCTCCCTGATAACTCACTACACTTGTATAAGTGTAGTGTATCGTGTCGTGTATAGTGGAGTGTGTAGGTTAAACGTTGAGTTTTATAAGGGCACCACGGGGTGACCAGCCCCTCCACACCCAGCCCCACCCCTCCCACCCAGCCCCACCCTCCCCACCCAGCCCCTTCCCTCCTCTCCCAGCCCCTGCCCACCCTCCCCCAGCCCCTCCCCACCCTCCCCTCTCCACCCAGCCCCACCCCTCCCACCCCCACCCTCCCCTCCCCATGCACGACAGACAAATAATCCCTGGTGGGCAGTGTGGAACCTGTTGTTCCTACCGGTATAAAAGTGGGAAATATCTGAACCGGTCCTGGGCCTCCCCTTGGTCGACTCAACCTCAAATGAGTACCTGATGCAGTGTGTACACATCACCACGAGGGAGACAAATGCGGCTGGGCGTGGTGTTGGCCACCCACTCCCCTGTGTACTGTGCCAGTCCTCATTAGGCGCTCACTAACACCACTTGCCTCAAAAATCTGTTAAAGCTATGAGGGGGATCTTTGTCTTTGTACAGTGGCATTGGCTACATATAAACTGATACTTTGAACGGAGTTTATAATACAGCACGGCCTATGTGTAACGCATCATATACCGTGTACACAACACCATGAAAGTGTGTGCCGTATAATACAGAGTAAAGGAGCATAGCCTGTGCACGTACTGCAGCGTTACTTTGAACTGAAACGTGGCATGGCCGTTATGTGTAGAACAGCATTTCTTGTGTATATGTAGTGGGTTCCCACGGAGACTGGAGACGTAGCTTAGAGGCAACACGGTTTATTTAAATCTTATAACATAAGCCCCTTTTACTCCCACTACTTGGGGAGGTATGGCCTCCGGGCTAACGTGCCCTATCACTGGGGCTACGGGCTCTGAGTCCTCCGACTAAGGGTGGCCTAGGGGAGGCTATGCTGACCCGACCCAGCCAAGGTGCAGGGTCTCGACCACTGGTCCGTGCTCGGCCCCGCCGCTTAAAAGGACGTCGTGTCCCAGGGTCCCGGGGTCCCAGGGTCCCAGCCTAGCCGGTCTTCAGTCTTCAGAGCACTGCCTCAGGCCGTCCTGGGGTCCGTCTTTTATACCCACCTCGGGGACTCTCCACTCCCGGAAGAGGAGATGAGGGGGGAGACAGAGGAGGTATGGACGAAGGAGCAGGAGGATGAGATGGTGGTGCAGGTGGAGGAGACATTGGTGGAGAAGATGGTGGAGAAAGAGATGACAAGGAAAGAGGATCAGGTGATGATGATGCAGGAGGAGAAGAGGAAGCGAGGGAGTCTGGCCCGCATAGGGAGAACCATCCGTTCACTCCTCCGACGCGTGCTGCTGTGTGGTGGCCGGTCCACCACACAGTAGAGGTGGTGGTGGTTACGGATCGTTGTGAACCACAACCACTATCACCATACCCACCACACACACCCTGCACCCATTCACCCCCCTGTGATACCCACCACCCACCGCACACCACACACACCCTGCACCCACCCACCCCATGATCCCACCCCCACCACATTCCACACAAAGGGTTAGGGGTTTAGAGGGTTAGGGATTTATAAAGTTAAGGGTTTAGAGGTTTCAGGTTATTTCAGGGATAAGGGGTTTAGAGGTTTAGGGATTTCGAGGGTTATAGGGTTTAGGGGTTGAGGGGATTCGAGAGTTAGGGGTTTAGAGGGTTGGGGTTTAGAGGGTTAGGTGTTTAGAGGATTAGGCTATTTGGGGTACGGGGTTTTAGAGGGTTAGGGTTTTCAGGGTAAAGGGGTTTAAGGGTAAAGGAGTTTAGATGGTAAAGGGGTTTAGAGGGTTAGGGGTTTATAGGGTTTTGGGTTTACAGTGAGGGAAAAAAGTATTTGATCCCCTGATGATTTTGTATGTTTGCCCACTGACAAAGAAATGATCAGTCTATAATTTTAATGGTAGGTTTATTTGAACAGTGAAAGACAGAATAACAACAAAATCCAGAAAAACGCACGTCATAAATGTTATAACTTCATTTGCATTTTAATAATGGAAATAAGTATTTGACCCCTCTGCAAAACATGACTTAGTGCTTGGTGGCAAAATCCTTGTTGGCAATCAGAGGTCAGACGTTTCTTGTAGTTGGCCACCAGGTTTGCACACATCTCAGGAGGGATTTTGTCCCACTCCTATTTGCAGATATTCTCCAAGTCATTAAGGTTTCAAGGCTGACGTTTGGCAACTCAAATCCTTCTGCTCCCTCCACAGATTTTCTATGGGATTAATGTTTGGAGACTGGATAGGCCAGTCCAGGACCTTAATGTGCTTCTTCTTGAGCCACTCCTTTGTTGCCTTGGCCGTGTGTTTTGGGTCACTGTCATGCTGGAATACCCATCCACGACCCATTTTCAATGCCCTGGCTGAGGGAAGGAGGTTCTCACCCAATATTTGACGGGACCTGGCCCCGTCCATCGTCCCTTTGATGCGGTGAAGTTGTCCTGTCCCCTTAGCAGAAAAACACCCCCAAAGAATAATGTTTCCACCTCCATGTTTGACGGTGGGGATGGTGTTCTTGGGGTCATAGGCAGCATTCCTCCTCCTCCAAACATGGCGAGGAGTTGAGTTGATGCCAAAGAACTCCATTTTCGTCTCATCTGACCACAGCACCTTCACCCAGTTGTCCTCTGAATCATTCAGATGTTCATTGGCAAACTTCAGACGGGCATGTATATATGCTTTCTTGAGCAGGGGGACCTTGCGGGCGCTGCAGGATTTCAGTCCTTCACGGCATAGTGTGTTACCAACTGTTTTCTTGATGACTATGGTCCTAGCTGCCTTGAGATCATTGACAAGATCCTCCTGTGTAATTCTGGGCTGATTTCCTCACCGTTCTCCACGAGGTGAGATCTTGCATGGAGCCCCAGGCCAAGGGAGATTGACAGTTATTTTGTGTTTCTTCCATTTGCGAATAATCGCACCAACTGTTGTCACCTTCTCACCAAGCTGCTTGGCGATGGTCTTGTAGCCCATTCCAGCCTTGTGTAGGTCTACAATCTTGTCCCTGACATCCTTGGAGAGCTCTTTGGTCTTGGCCTTGGTGGAGAGTTTGGAATCTGATTGATTGATTGCTTCTGTGAACAGGTGTCTTTTATACAGGTAACAAGCTGAGATTAGGAGCACTCCCTTTAAGAGTGTGCTCCTAATCTCAGCTCGTTACCTGTATAAAAGACACCTGGGAGCCAGAAATCTTTCTGATTGAGAGGGGGTCAAATACTTATTTCCCTCATTAAATGCAAATCAAGCTATAACATTTTTGACATGCGTTTTTCTGGATTTTGTTGTTGTTATTCTGTCTCTCACTGTTCAAATAAACCTATTAAAATTATAGACTGATCATTTCTTTGTCAGTGGGCAAACGTACAAAATCAGCAGGGGATCAAATACTTTTTTTTTCCTCACTGTAAGGGTTTAGGTTAAGGGTTCAGTGGGTTAGAGGTTTGGGGGTTTATGGGTTAGGATTTTAGAGGGTGATGGGTTTAGACCGTTATGGTTTTAAGGGTAAAGGGGTTTTGAGGGTTGGGTTTTAGAGGGTTACAGTTTAGAAGGATATGGGTTTAAAGGATTCTCGGTTTAGAGAATTAGGTGTTTAGATATTTTATGGGGTTTATTGTTAAAGGGGTAGTGGTTTAGAGGGTTAGGAGTTTATAAGGTTTAGGGGTTTAGAGGTATCGGGGTTTCAAGGGTTAGTGATTTACAGTGTTAGGGGTTTAGTGGTTTGAGAGTTGAGGGTTTAACACCTAGACTTTCACAACTAATATTGTCCATAATAAAGTTTTTTTTTGGGTTAGTCTCCAACACTAAATGGCACTTTTTGTTGATGTGACAAATTTTACTAATTGACTGTTTCGGGTGGTGGTTGGTTTAACGACATGTTTATATTTACATAATCTAACAAAAAAAAACCTTTATGGGTTTAGAGGGTTCCGGGTGTAGTGGATTATGTGTTTAGAGGGTTAGCATTTTAGGGGCATAGGTGTTTTAAGGGTTAGGCTTCTAGAGGGTTCGTTCTTTAGAGGGTTGGGGTTTAAATGTGTTGGGATTAGGTTACAGATTTAGGTTTTTAGAACGTTAGGGTTTTGAGGGTTAGGATTTTAGAGGTTGAGGATTTAGGAGGTTATGAGTTCAGAGGGTTAGGGGTCTAGAGGGTTAGTTCTTTAGAGGGTAGTGGTTTAGATTGGTTGGTATTTAGAATGTTAGGGATTTAGGGTTTTAGAAGGTTAGGGTTTCAAGGATTAGAGGGTTAGGGATTCAGAGGGTTTAGAGGGTTTGGTTTTTAATGGCTTAGACGGTTAGGGTTAAAAGAATAAGGGGTTTAGAGAGTGAGGGTTTTGGTGGGTTAGGGTTTTAACGGGTAAAGGGGTTGAGGGTTAGGGGTATAGGAATTTAGAGGGTTAGGGGTTGAGATGGTTAGTGTTTTGGGGGTTTAGAGGTTAAGCTTTTAGAGGGCGAGGGGTTTAAAGATTAGGGTTGTAAGGGTAAGGGGTTGAGAGGGTTAGCGGTTTAGATGGTTATGGATTTAGATAGTTAGGGGTTTAGAGGGTTTTAATTGTTCGAGGTTTAGTGGTTAAGGTCTCTGTGCGAGTCCAACATGTTTGCATGAGTCTATGGTAAGATAAAAAGAGTTCAGTTTAATTTGTATATTTCGAAACAATTTGTTTACCTTTCCTGTGATGTTTTGTATTGTATTTGTTGTTATTTTCTGACCCACCCGATTGGACGTCTGTGAAAACATCGTTATAGCTCATCAGATTCATCCAGTATAAATAAATATTCAAATTAAAAATCTATTGACCTCTGTGCGAATCTATGGATTTCTGTGTGAGTTTTTGGGCCTTTGAGTGTATGGATCTCTGTGTGAGGCTATGGGTCTCTGTGCATGTCTATCGGTCTCTGTGAGTATGGGGTCGCTGTGTGAGTCTGAGTGTTTGTAGGAATGTATGGGTCTCTGTTGGGGTCTATGGGTTTCTGGGTATGGTTGTTTGTGCGAGTCTTACATGCACAAATTTAACTTAAAAAGGCCATTGAGGGTTGCGGAATCCAAGTTGAATATTAAGTTCCTCG